AAATCGGGAGTGCAGGCAGCTCGGCGACCTCCGCGCATGCAATAAAGGATGTCACGATGATCTTCCTTGACTCGAGACCCGTTGCAGCAAGTACGGCGGGCGCAAGCGGCCGGCGTCCCGTCGTGCACGTCTGCGTCCGTGGGCAAAGGCAGCCAAAGACGAGAAGATGCAGCGTTGGGAGACAAATGCCTGTCACACGTTACGCCACGGGCTCTGTTAAGCTTACCCTGCATTGACGGTGACAGGTGCGAGACCCGTGCTTTCCACGTGTCAATTACTCAATGTCTCCCACTTCTTTCCCAACGCACGACCAAGCGATCCAATGGGGCCCCAACTACGTTCGCCCGTCCCGGCGCCTACAACCGCGTCGCAACTTGGTGCATAGTTGACGGAAGGCTGGCACATGGGCCGTCACCGTGTTGGGAGGCCGGTGGCGCGACGGTCAGCCTCGCTTGGGCCACCGACCATTCTGCAAGGAGATACTCGCTGGAAGCCTTGAACGGCCAAATCAGAAATTGTTAACGTGGACCGGAATGTGCCCGACTTGATTTGCAAATCAGAATTACGTGCAACCTGTTGCAAAGCCGTTTCTCTGACCTTCGTTCTCACTCTGACAAGCTCAAGTTCTGCAAGCTCAGCACGATCATCGATCTCGCCGTCCTCGTCGCCTCTAATTCGGAATAATGGGCGCCGCAACTCGCAACGACCTCGACACCATGGACACCAGCGGCTCGAGTGAGCAACTCGACCAGGATCAGCACGAGCAAGTCGACCAGATGATCCAAGTTGAAGGCGCACCAGCATCTCTGCAAGTCGACAGCGACGTCAATGACCAACTCGACCAACGCACCTCGGGCCCCGTCGTACCCACTCCTCCGTCTCGACCGCGCTCCGCCGGCCCACCATCCCAGCGCCTGTCGTCTGCGCGCTCCCTTCCCCCAGCCGATGCGGCTCCCGCCCTTCCGGCGGCCGATGCCGCACGTCCGGTCCCGGTCTCTCCACCTCAATCTAGCGCACCACCAACACCAGCAGCCGCTGCCGCTAATGCTGCCACGCGCGTCTCCTTCCAGCTCGCCGCCGGCATGACCGCCGCGGCCCCTGCCTCCGCGGCCTTACCCGCACGCAAAGCGCACTTTGTCGCGCGCACCGCCGTATTACGCGAGGCATTGCAGCCGGCGCTGCGCACAACGACCCGCTCGGCTGCAGAACCGCCAAGCCCAACGACGGCATCCGTGCCAGACCCGTCCCCGCTCCGCGTGCAACAAAGACGGCGGAACCGCACCGCGTCCAACGACCTGCTCGACCGCGTGGGTGGCGCAGCGCGCGCATCCAACGGATCCCTCGGCGCGTCGCACGCGAGTCTCGCGGACGACGCGGCCATTGAAACGCTCTTGAGCCGCGACAGTCTCGCGGCACTTGCGTCGACGCTCCCTCGCCCCGCACCTCCACCGCCCGCTGCGACTGCGGCGGGATCCACGAGTCGTCGGCCCAGCCGGTCGCGCGGCCCACCGCCCGCTGCTGCGGCCATGGCGCGCCGACGTAGCGTCACGGCGAGCGCCCTCCCGTCGCGCGCGGTGGCACCGATCGCAAGCATTCCGGGCCGCCGCAGAGGCATGCTCCCGGACTTGCTCGACGACGACGAGGATAACAGGCTCGTCGTGCAGGGCACGTCCGGGATCGACGCGTTCCCGAGCATGGCGAGTCTCGCGGGCGGCGCGAGCACGCGGTCGTTGCGCAACGTTCGGTCGCGCAGTCTTGCGACCGTCGGGCGCGACGAAGCGCCGCAGCCCCCGGTGCCCGTTGTGCGCGTACCGCGGCGGCGGAGGACGAGTACGGCGTCCGCGGGCCCGATGATGGAAACGCCCGTCGTCCCCGCCGATATGCCCCCGATCGCGATGGGGCTATACGGCCTCGCTGGGGTTCAACCACCGCCGTCACCCGACATCGACGATTCCGTCCCGTCGTCACCGACGGACAAGCTTCCGCCCGTGATCCCGCGCACCCCCTCCCCACCCACCACACGATCCCCACCCTCCTCACCCCCACCACCGCGCGGCCGCCACGCCCCGCCCGCGCTCGACTCGGCCCTCCGTCGCGCGAGAACCATGTCCCCGACCCCACCCGCCGCCGCAGAGTACGCGCGCGCAGGAGACATCCTCGTCGACCGGCGTACCGCCGGGGCCGGATCCAAGTCCGTCGCGCGGCACGGCAAGCGCGGGCGAATCACGTCCAGATTAGCCGACGCGGTTCTCGAACAACTCAGTATGCGCATGCAGGCGCAAGCCGATGCCGCGACCACCCCGGTGCGCACGCCGTCGGTCCCGCCCGCCCGTGCACCGCTCGCCCCGCCGCCGCCGCTCTCGCCGGGGGCCGCGTTCGCTGCGGTCGGAACGGGTACGAGCGTGCCGGTTCCAATGGCGACCCCGCCGCAACGCTCGGCGTCGACTCCACCGGCCGCTGCTGAACCCGCGCTCGCGCCGGCGTTTATCACGTCGGCCCCGCCACCGCCACCGCGCGCGACCACCGCCGCTCCGCGGCCACTGTGGCCTGCGACCGTCCCGCCCGCACCTCCCCGCTTGACCACCGCCGACCTCGCCCAAACCCTACTCATCAACCACCGCATCACCACCGCCACGCCACCCGTCCCGTTCCCACCCGTCCGCGCACGGAGCGCATCAGCCCCTGCGCCGGAACCGCGCGCTCCGATGCGCGGGTCGCATCGGTTCGCTGTGATCATGGCACACAGCACCGCCGGCGCCGCAGCAATGCTGCAGATCTTGGCGGCACCGAAGTCGAAACCTCCTGCGGCGGTCGCGGGGGCGATTGCGGTTCGGAGGGCGACGGTCGCGATCGCGCCGCAGGTCATGGCGAAAGGGGAGGGAGGTGAAGGGGGTGGTGGGGCGGGCGCGAGGGCGAGGGTGCGGGTTGGTGGCGAGGTGGGTGGTGCTGTAGGAGAAGGGGGTGCGGGTGAGAACGGGGTTGGTGAGGGCGTGCCGGGGTCGCCGAAGAAGAACGGGCCCGTCAAGGGGATTCTCAAGAAGAGGGTGAAGGTAGAGACGATCGCGCTTGTGGATGCGGGGAGAGAGTCGGGCGCGAATAGCGAGGGGCCGAACGGGATAGCGGGGACGGCGTCGCTCAATGCGTCGATGGTTGCGGAACCGGAGGTGCTCACCATGGATCCGATCCAGGCGCTGATTGAGGATCTCGTGGAGCGGTTTAGTCCACGTATGTGTGCAGGTCGCGTTGGTGATGCGGGATTGGTGCTGATGGTGTGTGGTCTTGCGTAGGATTGCTCGCCAACGACCATTCACAGCGGTTCACCTTTGTCAACGGTAAGCACAGCCGTAGCTCGCACGCGTTAGCGCTAATCCCTTGCTCATGGCCGTTCCGATCAACAGACTTCACGCGGCTCGCCAAAATGCACGAGGACGTAACGACCAAGAACCTGATCAACAACAACATTTCAACAACTGACGTCGACACGCGCCGGATCGAGAATATTGGCGACGACGAGTTGATGGGCATGATCTGGAACCTGTACGTGCTCCTTTCGTCTGATTGCGTCGCGAAATGCGCTCACGTTGCTCACGTCGCGCATTCACCCAGCTACTTTTTCATGCAGGCCATGGGCAACGATTTTCTCTTGCCGTTTCCGACGCGACAAGCCATCAAGCGATTGGTCGGTACGTTGTCGCGATCCAAATGTCGGGTCCGATCGTTGACAACCGTTCCGCAATGCGCGTAGATTCGCTCGAACCGATGGAAACGCGCAACGCAGGCCTGCGCGCGCTCATGGCCGACCTGCCCCGCGAGCCGTACCTGAACTACAAGGCCGTGCTCGGACACTGCCACCGGTTCGTGCTCTCTCTCTCCTTAGCCCGACCGACCGATCTCGTGACCCCTCCCCCCCTCCGCTACGCTAGCATCGTCCTCACGGCGACCGTCGACATCGTGCCCTTCACCATGTTCCACATGTTCGGCACGCTCCTCTTCTCGACGCTCAATTCCGGCGATCTGAAACCAAGCAAACCCAAGTCCTTTCTCGACGCGATCCGCCGCGGGACCTACAAGTCCATGTCGACCCTCGACGACGACGAGGACAACCCCGAACCATCGATGCCGAAATCGGACTCGCAGACGAGTTTTTCGTCGCAACTTGCTCTGCATACGCTCGATCCGGCTGACGCTTCGAAGGATTCGATTTTTTCGGCGGCGTTGGACGCGGATGACTTGCGCGCGCACTTGAACGAGGTGGGCGTGCTGCGCGAGCGGACGGCGATGGTGGTGCGGGCGGTTGCGAGGGGCGCGGACGCGGCGAGGGCGGGGATGCCGGTGGAGGCGGTGATCATGGAGCACTTGGTGGGCCAGTTTGAGCACCTGTTTTGAGAGTGCGTTGTGGGTGGAGGACACGATAATATTGACGTAGATAATTGTTTGGAGTGAGATTGTGCGTTCCCGTCCTGCTCAACCATTGCTGTGTCTCACGCCAGCTGCACTTGCACCCACGTCACGTCGCCGCCCCCACACGTTATGCCTGCCGCCGGTGCCCGCCCGCCCGCCTGCTCGTTCACCTAATGCCGCACCTATCCCGGGCGCCGCCGAGATTGCTGGCAAGTGCGTCGATGTGGCAATCCCGCCATCTGTGGAGCTTTTTATCAAAGAGATCATGCCCACCTGCATGTACCAGAATTCGACGACTCGTCCGCGCGCGCACTTGAAGAAGGTACGCGTGTTACGAGAGCAGACGGCGATGGCGGTTAGGGCGGGGACCCGCGGCCAGGGCGGGGACGCCAGTCGAGGTTAATGAGGCACTTGTTTGAGAGCAAGAGCAAGTCGCGTGGAAAAGAATGGGATGGCATCATTCAGAAGCTGCGGCCGTACTCTAGCGCTTTCCTTTCACGACGAGTGAAAGACCGGGCGAGCTGCCAATAAGGATTCCACGGTGGCGGCGTAATAGGTTTCACGAAAGGATGATGAGTTGGTGCTCGTCTCAAGAAGGACGACTACGACAGGGTTCGAACCTGTGCGGGAAAATCCCATCAGATTTCAAGTCTGACGCCTTAACCACTCGGCCACGTAGTCGGTGGTGTGTTTCCTGTGAGACCTTACAGATCCTACCCGAGCATTTTGACGGAAGCTGTGATTCTTTCGTTTTGCGTTGTCTTTTCTTCGAAAGCCGCGTCAGTTCTCCTGGCCGCGAATCTCCTCGCTTCGGCGAGCCAGCAAGAAGGTTTTTCCAACACACATAAAACCAGCAAAGCGTAAAAATAATATCTGTCGGGCGGGCCGGGGACACCAGCGATGGAGACGCTCACTTGGATCCCCGCCAAAGCATCGGCCCGCACCGACTGGAACTACAAGGTGGCTGCGTCCTCGCACGAAACCCCGTCCCGTCAACCCCGCGCCAACGCGCTCGCACAAACCAAACAAGACACGGACTAAACGTGCGTGCCCCCGACACTCGCAAGTCCCATCCGACCACTCGTCCCCGGACGCCGAGCGCCGCAAACCGCCCAAACCCGGTCCACAAAAAACTCGCGGGGTGGGCGGGCGGCGATGCGGCAGGTGGCGTCGATTGGGGATGGAGCCGGGCGGGGTTGCGGGTGCGTCCGCCGAATGAACGACAGGTCGGAGTGGCGAGACGTGCGGCGAGGTGAGGTCGAGAGGTCGCGGGTGGATCGACGGGGCGCAGCCGGGGTCGCTTGACTCTGGCATGAGGTTGACTCAAGACACCGCCATAACGCTGCCGATAAGCAGGTGGCTCGCGCCCAGCAGGAAACTGGTGCGGCCCGCGGTGTGATCTAAGGAAAATCGTGCTGAGATAAAGAGAGCAGAGACGGGTGCGGGGACGGCTGCAGTTTTGAGGGGGAATGGTGGAGGAGAGGTGCGTGGTTGGAAAATATGCGATGCGTGTGGCATGCGATGCGGGTGACTGGTTGTCATGGGCACTCTCCCAGCCAAGCAACGCGTCGTTCTCAACCCACATTGATCGTGTCGGCACGACCGCGACGGCGACGACAACGACTTCGGCACGAGGATGCATGTGTAAAGACGTCGACCACCGGGCCAACTTCACGCAAAGACCCGCAACGGCTTGGATCACGACCAGGGAGCGCGCCGTCGTGCCCAAGGAACCATCCGGCCGCGATCGACCACCAGCAACCACTGCAACCCAACCACCCCGACGATCACCATGCTCCTCGCCGTGTGTCTCGTCGCGAGTTCATCGCGTGGCCACCACGTCGTTGCGCACGCGCCGTCCAACCCGACGCGCGCCGCGCACCCGCAACAATGGGCCAACGCCGCCGAACAAGCGCAATACCACCGCTCTTCGCCACGCACGCACGCGTCCCCAATCGCGCCTCCACCCGGCAGATTACCGCTCTCACTCGCACGCGGACGCGACATGGCGACGCCCGTCCCAGCCCTCGTCTCGGACGTGCTCGGCGCTGACCAGCACCAAGTCGATCTCGCGCGATGTCCCGTCTCGGCCGACCTCTCGCGCCGGTTCAGTCTGTCGGCGAGTAACGCCATGGGCAACGTTGCAGGCCCTGGCGGTACGGGTACCGCAACCAACGACGCGACCGGATCGACGATGGCAAACGGCACGGGCCCCAGTCCACGCCTCGGGGAAGCTGCGCTCACGATCGACGCGCGCCCTGCGGCAGCCAGCATTCTGCGCCCGGGCACGGCCGCGTCGATCGTGACGCTTGCCGGGAGCACGACCACGCCTGTTCCGTCGATCGCGCCGTCGCACGCGAGTGCCGCCGTGTACGACGCCCCACCTGCGCCAACCGCGGCTCCACCCCCACCCGTCCTCCCTGCACTCCGCCCAAGCACGCTTGGGTCCGGGGCGACTCCAATCGTCTCCCCCGCGCAGTCCCCACGCGTCCCGCCGCCACCGACGCCCGCGATTGGCGTCCCGACCGCCGCTGCCGCGCCGACGCATATTCTCGGTATCGACTTGCAAACGTTTGCCCGGCTGGTCGCGCCCAAGGCGCCATGCTGCGACTCGCGGTTTGAATTACAGCTCGGCGACTTGATCATGATTGGGTTGCCGGTTGCGCTCACGGGCGCGAAACTGGCCCCGCGGTACGCCAACGTACCGGGGATCGCGCCGTACTACCGCCGGCGCATGCGGCGGTACGCGCGCGAGGCGCAGATCCAGCTGCAAGAACAACAGAAGCGGATGCAGGAGGAGGCCCTCGAAGGTGCCCCGGCGGTGGCGGGTGCACATCGTCGCGGCCGGTCGCGCCGTGCCGCACAGGCTACGACCACGGTCGAGCGTTCATCGTCCGAGTCCGAGGCGGGCAGCGATACCGACGTGCCGCAAGGTGGCGGTACCGCGACCACCGACCACGAAGACGACTCTGATTCTGACGAGAGCGACGGCGACCACCCGTACTACCAAGACGACCACGACCCGTGGCAGCACGACTCGGCAGTCGGCGGGGACACGTTCGACCCGGACGAGTACGAGCGCAACGGACCGCTCGGGTGGCCGTCCGACAGCGACCACGACGATCTCGACGACGACGATCTCGATGACGACCTCGACGCCAGTGTCCGGCCGCACGCGCTCGACTCGTCGTCGTCCGACGACGACGACCTGCACGCGTCGTTCCTCGTCCCGCGCCGGCGTAGTAGTACCGTCAACTCGGAGAATTTACCGCCGCTCGGACGTACGGGACGCGCAGGCACGCGCACAGCCGCGGACGGGATGCGGCTACGGGCGTCGGCGAAACCGCGCGCGCGGACGCGGACGCAGTCAAGGCGCCGGCGAAGGGACGCAAGCGCGCACCCGCGGCACGCGCACCGGTTCCATATTAGTATGTTCCACGTCGTGTTTCTCGTCCAGGACGCGGGGCCCGCGACGCGCGACTTTGTCGAGGCATTGTACCACCACGTGGCCGCGCCCGTGACCCGCGCGCTGCGGCACGAGCAGGTGCGGTCCGAGTACGTCCGGCGGCACGCCGAGGAACTGCTGGCAATGCGCGACGGTGCGACTGCCGCGTCGCGGACCGGATCGAGTGTCGGGCTCGGGATGCGCACGCCGCCGACGTCGGCCGAGTCGGCCGAGGCGATGGCGAGTGCGGCCGCGTCGGGTATGTCCCGCACGGGGCCCGCGACCGACGCCGACGAAGACCCATATTCGCTCGTCGATTTGATGGCGCAGCTGTACGCGGTCGGCGCGCGTGGAAGAGGTGCACCGCCCGTGCACGTGGTCATCAACAACCACATTGAATTGACGCTGCATATTCCGGCACACCGTGTCCCGGCGGCGCGGCACGTGCTCGCGCTGGATCATCTCGAGCCGGAGCCCGCGGGGGACGACGACTTGACCGACTTGGACTACTACGACGACGACCCGAACGACGAACGGAACCGGCCGTGGGCGGGGTCCGACGACGAGAACGAATACGTCGAGTTCGAGCCGGACCCGTGTGCCGCGGCGCTCGGCATCGACGCGGCCGATCGCGGTGCCTACTTCCCGCTGATCCGCAGCTACCACTCGCTCGCACTGGTTGGGGACCGGGATGCGGTCCTGCGCGCTCTCCCCTCAGACGCGAGCCCGCTGGTGCGCGCGTTCGTGCAGTGGATCCACCCGAACCAGTCGTTTGTGGAGGCGCATCTGCACTTCCAGGTCCCGCTGTACCAGATCCTGCGCGTCGCTGCGCACCTGATCCGGTGGGGGAAAGCGCGTATCATTCACCCGGTCGCATTCAAGAACATGTTCCAGGTGCACCCGGACCTCGATTTGCGTCAACTCGTCGCGCCCAGTGCGGCCTCGGCCGCACGGATGCCGCACGCCGCGAGTCTGCCCGTGACCGACTGGGACGCGCGTGTCGGCGGGGCCGTGTTCGACGAGGACTTGCCCGGTTCCGGCGCGCCGTTGCGCCCGACAACGTCCACGGCCACAGGCGACGTACCCGCACCCGACGCGCCCACTCTCGCGGCCGAGTTTCGGCGCATGTTCCCGACACTCGACTTGCTGACCGTGATCGCCGACTTGACGTCCAAACGCACGCTCTTCTCGGCCCCCACCCCGGACGAACGCAACCTTGCCTTACAAGCCGCAGCGTTGCTCGTCGCGCGTGGCGCCCTCCTGCAAGTGCACCGGTACGTCTACCTCAAGGTGCCCGAAATCCTCGCGCGTGTGCCCGGGCTGGCCCTCGCCGACTTCGAGCAACTGTGCGGCGCCGAAGGCGCGCCCGCGGTTCTCGGTGCGGCCGCGGGGGTATCGGGCGCGGCGGGCGCGCCGCGACCCGAGGAACGCAAATGTGTTTTGCCCGTGGGCGCGGGAGGGGCCGGGTGGGCGGCGGTGCCCAAGGGCGTGCGAGAATGGGTGAAGATGGTGGGCAGCTCGAATCCGGCGTATGCGGCCACGTTTGAGCGCGTCGCGCTGTATTTTACGGGCCGGTTCCATACGGATGAGATTGCGTACCGGACCGGGGTGGAGCGCAAGGAGCTAAACAGGGTGTTGAGCGCGTATGCGCAGGAGTTGATTACGGTGATGCATCCATAGAGTAGGAAATGAAATGGAGAGATGCGGTGATTGATTTCTGGGGGGTCTCCGACGGTGCTCGTGGCTCTTCACCGACGGGAAAAGATCGCGCGGATTGCTGCTATGGCGGCGGCACAGAGACGATACCCGGCGACCTTTGCTTGAAACCGTCCGTTTTTGAACCTTGAATAGTCACAGTTGGTGCAAACTGAGCCCCCTCATGTGCGGCAGACACATCGCTATTAATTCGCGCAGGGCAAGCGCGACTGTCGTATGAAATACTGTGGCCGCGTCACGCTCGATCGATTGTCGTGGCCGTGTTGCTGATGAATCTGTCCATGCCTCTACTCAGCGTCGGCGTCATGATCCTTCCATCCACTCCTTCTTCACATTCATCTATCTTCCTAATGAGTAACGCTTTGCGGAATATCTCCAGCAGTGTATAAAACACTCTCCACCCTTTTCTTTTCGACAAAAATGATTGTGGCTGTTGGTAATGACAACCTCGCCCGGATCACTATTACTTGGCTATCCCCCATGCCTCAAGACGACGAACGGCGCACTACACTCCATACTC